TACAAGGGGATGTTCTTCCAAGATTGTTTCTAAATCAAGCCTCAGCATTTCTTTCCCTAGGTGATTAGCCCAGTCCTCAAAAGCTGGCCCTGCCTGGCACACCAATAGCAGTCAGTACATTTTTACTTCCCCCTCCTTATATTCCATAAATTTGAAGGCTAGTTTTTAAGAAAATATTTCATAACCCTTTTGAAAGAAAGGATTAACTATCTAGATAAGATTGGAATAGGCTTCTATATATCGGAGAGAGAGAGAGATGTATATCCACAAGTTCTTCTGAAAATCTAGCTGTCTGAAATGGTTCTAGATTAGACCAGGTCTCGGACCCACCCTAGGTGTGGCATTCAACAGTCCCATAGGCTCTGGTCCACTCTGAGGTCCTTATAGTTTAGTTCTGAAGGTCCCTCTCTCCTGCCTACCCCAGTTGTCATACATCACCTGCTCTTTCCATTAAGTCTCCTGCTTTCCAGCACATGGGCTAAACTGTTACACAGCCTTACCAGCTATGAACCTAAATGCTACTTAGTATTCCTATTTCATTTTTAAGAGTATGCATGGATATTGACACAAATAAACTTTGTATCTAACTTGTACCATCTTTAGGAAATTAGATATACAAATCTATAGACCATGTAATTTAAGCTTTTGAAATTTTAAAGATATAAAAATTGTCAGGCAGCATCTTACTCTCACAAAGCCTGAGATTCTATCCTTATTACCGCTACTCCGAAAACCACTGTGAAAAGGCAATATAGAAACTCAGATTGACCTGGGCTCCATGTCTCCTCATTCCCTACCCTCCATCTTCCACCTTAGTTCCACAACTGGAAAAAAACACCATAATATGCATCAAGATTCACCCTTTGGTCCCAAAGTGAACACTATTTGCCCCAATGCTTGCCCCAACGAGTTGGCATGATGCTTATGTACACACACCCACGGTGTTACAAGTGGGAAGGAGAGATTGTTGTGAAGTATATTGCTATCTCATACTATCTTCCACAGAATTAAGGCCAGAGATGGTTTGTCACTGATAGTCAACAGCCTGGGAATCTTACTGTGTACATGTAAGAATAAGGAGGAATGGTAGGGATTAGAAGCACTCTCCAGATAAGAGTTACTCTGTATTTTTTTAAGCTGAAAACAATACTAGTTTTTCCTATAATTATTATTACCAATGAGGTTTTTAGAACTTAATAGGGGAGCAGAATTTTCAGAGACTGTCGCTGCACAAAGATTCACTTTCTTTATCCTCAAATGATCTTTTCTTATTTTGAGTTTGTTCATAGTAAGTTATAGTCTTTTCAAGACCTCTTTTTTTTAAAAAAATTGATATCAAGAGTAAGTGTTCCAAAAAAGTATTTTTTTATAACTCCCATTAAGCCATTTGTTTATTTATTGGCTTTATGATACTTAGGAGAATTTGCAAAAGTTAATCTGTAATAGGAACTTAATCTTCATATTCTCTCTATCACTAAATACTCTTTAAATACAGCCAATGTGTACTTATCTTATTTGCTTTATAATTTCTTCTGATTGGAAGTTATAAAACTAGAATATGTGTTTCAAATAAGTTAAAATGGCTCCTTTCATTTGAAATAAAATGGATACTCATATTTCTTTAAAGACACCACTTCTTCATTGACTTTTAGAAATCAATGAGGTTAGAGTTCCCACTTCTCTTGTTAGAGATTGACATACCTCTGTTTCAAATCCAAAATTTCTCAGCATTGACCTACTGACATTTCAGACTGGGTAATTCTTTGTTGTAGGAGCTGTTCTGTGCACTTGTGGGGTGTTTGGCAATATCTCTAGCCTCCCACTAGATGCCAATAGCACCCTCCCAGACCAAATATGTCCTTGGGGGGCAAAATTGCTGTTTGTTGAGAACCACTATTCCAATCTATGTGTAACATGACCTTTAGAATGCATCAGTGGGTACATAACATGGGTTATATATGATTTTTTAAACTTTATTTTTATTCAATCTGATTCTTTCCTGTTCTAGTCATGATCATATTTTTTAAATCTATGCCTTTTTTTCTATTCAAGAGTCTTTTAAAGAACAAGAATATAGGTTGGGAACAGTGCCTCATGCCTCTAATCCTAGCACTTTGGGAGACCACAGCAAGAGGATCGCCTGAGGCCAGGAGTGCAAGACTGGCCTGAACAGTATAGCGAGACCCCATCTCTATAAGAAATAGAAAAATTAGCTGGCCATGGTGGCTCATACCTATAGTCCCAGCTGCTTGGGAGGCTGAGATAGGAGGATTGCTTGAGCCTAGGAGTTTGAGGTTGCTGTGAGCTAAACTGACGCCACAGTACTGTAGCCCAAGCAATAGAACAAGACTGTGTCTCAGGAAAAAAAAAAAGTTATGAAAGTCTTCTGTGTCTACCATCAGGCCAGACCGTAATGCTTTGAGGGGTGTATGTAGTAATTAATTTACACAAGTATTTTTTTTAGTGAGCTATTCAAATTTAGACTAGACTCTAATTATATGTGTGCATGTTTTTTTAAAATAAAGTGGAAAAATGTATAGAAAGATAATTCTTTCACCTTAAAAAGCATAAATGTTACTTAAGTTTGGAGGATTGGACAATTTGGCAGTTTGGAGGATGAGAAGGAAAAACCTACATTTAAGTAATATAGAGGTTTGTTAAGAGCTTTCCTATAATACTCTGTTTAGTAGACATCTGAGCTAAATGACTCCAGTAATTAAGTTAACAATTTCCAATGAATAATGAACGTTTGCAGGATTTCAGTATAGACTTTAGTTACTCTTGAAAAATAGGAAAGAACTATATGGTTCTAGTTTTTAAAAATGCAATTTAGAATCTCCCAAATGGGATGATCTTTCACACTCTGATGATAAAGTGCTGCTGTATTCCCAAACTGAGCTGCACAGGAAGGAAAACTTTAGACCTAAACTGAAGCCAGAGCCCGAAATGGAGCCTCAACCACTATAAAAATCTCCCCAACCAGGTTCTGCAGATCTAGATGCAGGGTTAGGGGAAGATGGATGGAAGTTAAGTGAGTCATGGTTGGGGAGGGGATTTTATTCAGGTGTCCACACCTGTCTTACCTATCCACCTCCTCTGCTAGGCCTTAGGGAGGCTTTAGGCTGTATTGCACATCCCTTCTCTGTCAGCAGAATCCTACTGTTCTCCAAAAACCAAGAGTAGACGTTAGTGAGTGCTGTTATACCAGCATACAGCTGGACCTACGTTCTTTCGTTCTTTCGTGTCTGATGCAAGCATTCCTTTGGCTCCTGCTCTGTCTCCACTGCTGTAGGATTAAGAAGTCACCAGGATGTGTGTGCCAACTAGGCATTCAGTTTCCACCACCAGTAAGACAGCCTGATGAGTGCCTATCTCAAGAGTAAATTAAGACTTGTTCACAAAATTACAGCATTTTAGAACTGAGGAAAATTTGGGGAATTAAAGAATAACTTTAGAGCCCCCACAGATATTATTTATGGGATAGATTATAAAGGCAGAAACTTGTTATTCAAGGGATGGAGACTAATTTAAAATGGGATCAAAGATAGCTTAAATTCATGGATGATGGAGGCTCAATAGAATATTATCTAATACTCAGCATCTTTGGTGGAACTCAACATTTCTCCTTTATTCTGAATCTCCTTCGAAAAGATATTTTTCTTTGACTTCTTATTTCTTCTTGTTGTTCGTTCATCTCTTCAACAAATTATTACATGTTTACTATATGCCAGATACTGTACCAAACTGTCTTCTTGCTTAACTTTTTTTTTTTTACTTTTTTCTGGGGGTGGGAGAAAAGGAGGAGTTGGAAATTGATAACTCCAGTTCTTTTCACTAACACATTCATGAATGTGTGTATGTGCATACACGTGAGCACAAACATACACTTAGCAGCCAGTTAGCTCTGAGTCATCATCTTCTAATAATGGAAAGCACAGATTTGGGGGAATATAAATGAGAATTATAAAAATGAGGAGGGGGCTCCTTACTTGTCTACTAAATTTCTAAGACTGTGTGTTTGGGGGGCTGGAGGGTGGGGAGTTGTATTTTATATTCTTACTAACAAATCCTTTTTAAATTATCACCTAACACTATGGCAGACCCAAGAAAAGAAAGGTTTCAGGTACTAGAAATGGTGAAGCAGTTGCAAGGCAGTGAGAAGATTCCAATTGTTCACATGCCTTTATCGAGCTCTTACCATGTGCCAGGAAATGTGGCTGATGCACGCCTCAGTCATCTCCAGCAACCCTGTCCCTTTGCTCTTGAAGCTTCCCATCTAGTAAGGACACCAGTCCTTGAGCAAGGCCTAGAAAACACAATTGCCTGTTCCATAGTGTTGCCTGGGACTCAGCCTGGGCGTGGCCTGCAGAATCATCTCTGTAGGCTGCTGACCTTGTTCCATAAACACGAGCATGGATAATGGACTCATCAGGCAGGGAGAAACACCCCAGCCACATTTTTCTCTCTGAATGTAATTATGGAATTAATCTTATGCTGCTAGTTATTCTTCTTCAGAAATGCTACTCAAAAAAGCAAGAATTAAAATGAAATGTGTTTAAGAGAGCAAAAAATTGGGATATGGAATGTATCTCAGAAACCACCTAAATAAATATCCAGAAGCTATTCAGCAGGGAGTCATGTCAGCCAAAAACAAAACATACATAGCTCAAAGGAAGAAGAGCTTTTTAGCAAATTCATTAATAACTCTTCCATATAAACAGTAGACACTTGCTAGCTTGAAACGAAGAGGGTTCCTCTTATAAATGAATAGAAACTACCGAGCAGAAGTGATTACTGACACTTATGGGTAGAAAATAGAAATAAGAATGTGGTGGGTTACAGGCATGCTCACCAGATTGCTTGAATTATTTTGGTCGATTAAGTGTTGTAAAGATGTATATCACGAGGGTTTGGGTATGAAATGATTGTCACTTGAAAAATCAGTCAGTCATAAGATCTTTGATTTATAACTTGAGGTGTTTCTCTCCCCTCCCCTTCAGCTTGTCAAAATTCCCAAAAATGATCCCCTCAATGAAGTCCATAACTTTAACTTCTATTTGTCAAATGTGGGCAAAGACAACCCACAGGGCAGCTTTGACTGCATCCAGCAAACGTTCTCCAGGTAAGTACTTTTCAAGGTATGCTGAAGGGAAAATAATTTTTAAAGAGGGTGTTTTTTAAAAAGTAAACAATAAAATATTAACATATAGTAACCATTCCATACATATTTCCTAAATTTAATTGTAGAGCTCATTTATTTATTTAAAAAATATCAAGCACCTAATATGTATTAGAAACTATATTTGTCACTGGGATACAACCACTAAAATTCTAAGATTTGTTTTTCTCTTGTGGGGCTTTAAGGTACAGAAGATATTTTACTTATGACATATGGAGTTTTTTAAATTAAAGACAATTTTGAAAATTTTAAAAAAGGTTTTATTAATTTCATTTAAATAAGAGTGTGTATGACATATTCAGGGCTCACACTCAAGGGTAAAGGAGGAAAAAATATGTGTCTCGCATATCCTCTTCCTTCTTCCCTGTTCAAGTCTTATTTTAAGATATATTGTTAAAAATTTTTTATTCCACAGCAGCATGGAAACTAGAATTAACCTCAATATAGCAGTCACTTCTCCTGATTTAAAGAAAAAAAAAGGGAGGAAGACAAGAATGCACACTCACACCCCAGTGTACCATGGATCCCTTATCTACTTAGATCCTCTATAAACAATAAGCTACTTGTTTTACTCTTCTTTGCTTTGGTTGTTTCTGATTAAAGAATGGGCCCTTGAGTAGGGGAGGAGTTGTTCTGCCCCTGCATAGAGACAAGGGAGGTTGGGGTCTCTCATTTCCTCAGTGTGTAGTAAGGCTTTGACATTAGCCCAAAGCACCCCAGCCCAATCCATCTCCATTGCCCATCTGTGCAGTACTTGAAACTTGCAAGCACTCGCTGGCCGTGGAAGAAAGAGGAAGGAAAGCTATGTTTCAAATAGACACAGGAGGCAGAGATGCAAAATAAGACACTTCACTGAAAGAATGAGCTCTAAATTTATCTTCCCAGTTAAGGTGACTAAATAACTGTTCTGTTTGTTTTATCTTAATCTACCATTTTCCTTGAGTATATACTAATTTCGCTTTCTGAACATTACCCTCAAACTTATTTTTTGTCATGAATTACATATATTATAGATTACATACATAGACTTCTGTCCACTAGTAACCACTGGCCACATGTGGCTATTTACATTTCAATTGACAAAAAAATAAAATTTAAAATTTTATTACTCTTTCACACTAACTACATTTTATGTGGTCTCAGTAGCTACATGTTGCCATCATAGAAGACAGCACAGATACAGAACATTTCCTCTATTGCAGAAAGTTCTGTTGAACAGAACTGTGATAGATTACAGAATCACCAAGTAAAGGGTCCTTAGTGACTGTGTGAGTCAACTCCTTCATTTTACAGGTTACTTATCCACAGCTGTGCAGCTGGTTAGTTAGTGGCTGGGCTAAATGAGAAATGAGTTCTCCTAACTCCCAGCCCAGTATTCTTTACGTACCACAGGGCATGCTAATTTCTAAATGTGGTACTTGTCTTTAGCTAGTTATTTTATTATAGTGAGCACATTTTGACATCAAATGGAACTGTGTCCCCTTAGGAATTTTATTAAGGAACTTAATCCCCTCTTCAAAACTAGTCATATAATCATAAGTATTAATAATAAGGCTTCACTCTTACATCATAAATACACGGTATGTTTATTTCTATCCTACTGGCTTGGAGAAAGATTTAAGTCAATTACAAAACTATACATAATGTAACAAGAGAACAGAAACAATTATTGTGAGAAAATTGGTACAAATGTATTAGTATCCCATCAGTATGATACAAGGCGCTTTATAAAATGGTGTGGTAGGGGTGTGAATTGAAATTTGCTACTGTGAAAACAAAAGCACTCAAACTTCTAGTTCTCAGCCTGGCAAGCAAATGTGTCCTTAATCTGGCTCCACCTTTTCTATTCAATTTAATTTTTATGTTTCCCATGGATCTTGTCTCTCCAACAATAGTGCAAGCTCCTCAAGAGTAGGGGCTTTCTTATATGCTTTTTCTAGTGTCACAGTGCTGGCTGAGCTCAAAATGGGTGCTCAGTAAATAAATGTTCAACAAGTATGGATTAACTAGTCTCCTTAACTACATGTTAAAACCTTATAGAACCTTACTTTTCTCATATATAAAATGGAGGGAATCTCATAGTCAATATTACCTTTTAAAAATTCCTTAAATGTACCCATTCCCAGGCTTAGTGAAAATACAGTTCAGGGCATATAACCTATAGCAATGCACACTCAAATGTGGGAAACAGTGAGCTAGGCTAGAGAAAGACTAAGAGAACATTTATACATATATGTCCTAAATTTGGGAGTACCTTGTTGCCCTCAGGGTTTAGCTCCATTTTATTTTTGTATAAAGACCTGTTTCTAAACCTCCAGCAGTAGCTTCATCATAATTGGCAATAGGTTTAGCTTATTCTCACCATTTAAATTACTTAGTAAATGATAGGAACAGATGTTAAAATACAAACTGCCTGCCACCAGACCTTCTCTCTACTTCAGTCATTTCCTCCCACCCATCTCCCTCCATCCTGCTTCCCTAGGAATTAAACCCTTTTCTCCCTTTCCCTCTTTCACTGGTTTTTCAGCAAATATGCTTAATGCCTATCTCATTTAAAAAGAAAATAAAAAACAGAAACAACCACTCACGCTCACTTCCCAACCCAAAGTCTGGCTTCAGCTCCCACCACCACCACCCATATCACCACATTCCACTGAAACTGCTCCCCCACGGGGAACATGACCTCCTTGCCCCTAAATCAGTGGATGCTTATGGGTTCCCTGTTATTCTGGACTTGTTGCCAGTGTTCCATGCTGTTGCCCACTCTCTGCTGCTTGAAGCATTCTATTCCAGTGGCTTCCCTGAACAATACTCTTCCAGTTTCCCTGCTACCTCTTAGGCTGTGGCTTTTCAGTCTCATGTGGTCTCATTTTCTTCCTGTTGGTTAAATGTTAGTGTTCTTCACAATTCGTTCCCTCCTGAGACCGCTTCTCTTCTCATTCCTTCAAGGTCACCATCTCTCACACTGAACTTAATTTCTTTCTCCCAACCCTATCCCTGACCTGCCCTGCATTTTGTATTCAGTGTTTCAATAAATGGCAGCCCATTTACCTAGCAACTTGGGCATAATCTTTAATATCCCTCCTCTTCTCTCCCCCATGGCTCACCACTGACTGAATCCTGTCAGCCTGCCTCCTCACTATCTCTGGAATCTGTCTCCTTGTCTGCATTCTCATTGTACTACTCTGGCTCATGTGGTCACTTCCCTCCTGTAATCCTCAGTAGCCTCCTAACCAGTCTCTTTGCTTTTCCTCTTGTGTCCCACTTCCTCCCAATCTATTCTCCATGCAGACTGAGTTTTCTACAATACAAATGAGATATTTTCTCTTCACTGTTTTCAACCACTGTTACTGTAGGGATAAAGTTCAAAATCTATAACATGACTCTCAGAGCCCTGTGTGACCTACTTCTTATTCCATCTTCAGCCTTATCTCTAATTGTCCTTTCCTGCTCTCTTTGGCCAATCTGAAAACCTTCTCCTTGCTCGTCCTGGGCCTGCACAGGTTAGTTATCATCCTAGAACCCTTTAGTCCTTACTCCCTCTTGTTCAGTCATCTTTTTATGTCAGCTCACACATCAGTTCCTCTAGGAAGTCCAGGTGAGCTACCCTTCCTGGGAGTTCCCTGCTCCCTGGCATTTGTCACACTATGTTATAATTTCCAGTTTGCCCATCCTTGTCACCCATTAGACAGAGAGCTCTTTGAAGGAGGGACCATGTCTGTCTTAGTCCCTGTCACAGCCTCTATGCCACTCACATTGCCAAGCATGCAGTCCCTGCCCAATAAGTATTTGTGAAATAAGTGAACTGATTTTTAAATACTAGCATTTGTAAAGACGGTTATTAGAAATTTACAGAAGTTTCATCAACCTTTATTTCTTAGTATCATAACAAAGTTATTTCCAATTAAGTTTGGAAATAGAGGACGGGAGCTCTAGTGTCATTTTTATTACTTCTATATTCTACTTTATTTTAAGGCCATCATAATTTCTTTTTAAAACACCAATTATGACTATTACCATGATTGCCCTAATACTAACATATTACTTTGACTCATCTTCTGGGTCCATGTTATATTCATGACTGTTTCCATAAAATTTTTTTATAAAAATATTTCTGCAAAAATCACTTGTATTTTCATCGAATGCTATATAAATAGGTCATCTTACAGACATTTAAGTGGTAAATGCAAATTCTACAAACTTTTAGGAACTTTGGAGCAATAATACTAAATTATGCTTGCATGTTTGTCAGTATTTTAGCCTTAAAATTAATACCTCATTAAAAGTAAAAAGAATTATGGCAGGCCCATTTCATCTAGTCAATTCTCAAGCATGCATATTGTGCTTCCACTAAAAGTAAACTTTTTAACATTTCTCATGTCAGTGGTAGGAAATTTTTTAAAATAGTTGACTTTTAAATGAAGGTAGAGCTACAATGTCTATTGGGCTTTGCCTTTAAGTACTGATTTTTGTTCCCTCAAAATTGTATAAATTTGGTCTCTGAAAGCTAATTTCATCCATTATATTCAGAATAGGAAAAAAATGTGATATGAAGAAGAGAAACTTAAATATATTAAATAATCTTTACATTTAAAAGTTAATATCGGTTTGCAAACTTATATCTGAGCTCCTGATTTTAGGATTTTGTACAATTTTTGCTTGCCTTTATTGTGCAAAATGAGGGTCATCTCTAACAAAGCCACTGTCTTACTTGACAGCTCCGGAGCCTCTCAGCTCAATTGCCTGGGATTTATACAAGATAAAATTACAGTGTGTGCAACAAATGACTCGTATCAGATGACACGAGAAAGAATGACCCAGGCAGAGGAGGAATCCCGCAACCGAAGCACAAAAGTTATCAAACCCGGGGGACCATATGTAGGTTTGTATAGATATCTTTCTCCCTCTTGATGATTGATTGGAGTAATTCAAGATCACTGTAGGTAAATACCGGTAATATTAACTGAATGAAAACATAGAAATTAGTTTTCAGAACATTTTGTATAACATGGTCCAAAAAAAGGTCATTTGTTCTCTTCAGACTGCTGGTAAGGAACAGACTGCTGCTTGAGGATCAGATTTTAAAGTATTACAACTTTCCTAAATCCTGAATCTTTTTTTGACTACTTATTATTTTATAATGCTGGGATCTGGTCATGTTACTGCACGAAGTTGTAATAGTGGCACCATTTTCTTCGTCACTGGATGATGTAATTGCAGTGATGGACAGTATGTTTCTTGTTTTGCCTTTTTGTAGGGCTATTTTTACAATAAAATCTAGTAAAATTAATGGATTGATAACTTCGTTGTTACAGGTTTTGCTTACATTTTCAGAGGATCTTTGTACAATATGTATTTTATATTGCAGAAGTACAAATGTGCTTATAGCAAAGCTTTAGCAGAGCATTAGAGTGATGCCTCTTTGGGACCTTGTTTGTGTTCCTCAACCTCTTCTGCCCATTAACTAAGAGCTTACCTCACACCCATCATTTTTATCATCAGCTCACTCAGATATCCATCAGATTGAAGGGAAGTAAGGCCAGACTGGCAAGATGAGTCTCTCTTTTAAGAATAGTGACCCCAACAACTTTAAGGAGTCAATTCACAGTGTTAACATTAAGAGAGAGGAATTATCAGGCATGAGGATGAGATCTTTGAGTCTTTAGTCAGTTTAATAACACAAGTCATTCTATAGTAAATGATGAAAGGATATTAATTTGGAAACTTAAAAGCTCACAAAAACAGTCTCTTGAAGAACCAGATCCCTTAAGCAACATCTTTCCAAGGTTTGATATAATTCTACTTCTGTATTTTCCCATTGCTGAACCAGCTATAATACATTTAGGTTTGAGAAACTCCACTAGTGTCTTTAATAATAGTGTCTTTCTTTGGAACAAAGCCAATGCTCCTGGGACTTCGTGCTTAGCTTAGATACATTTAGTTTGGTTTAACAACAATTCATGGCTTCCCCAGGTGTCCATACCCACGGGGTTCCCTGCTCAGTAAGTTGTCAGCAGTGAGATTTTTTACCTTACCTTTCCTGCTGAGTGAGGTAACAACTTCTAACTTGCTTTCTTTCTCTGGGCCACTTGGCTCAATCTCAAATTGTTTTTAAAACACACAAGATCTGCTGCACTTACATTTTAATACAAACTGAATTATCTGTCCCTGTAGTTTTGAAAGTATTGCTTTACTCTGTCCAATACCACCATTTTATAAATTAGTGTGTTTGACAAAGGAATAGAAGACCCAAACCACCAATGATGGTGGTTTTTCCTATCCAGTATAGCTAGCTGAAAATCCTCACCTTGATTTACTGCAAAGCTTGAAAATCGGTGATGACGACTGCACTTTTCCATTGAATAATCTTTGGGTGTCCCGTGTTCATGTGTGTTTGCTTGTTTTGGTAGGGTCAGGTACAGTTCATTTGTAGCTTACACAACAGCCTTTTCAACACCCCAAATCCCACAGACCATAACTTCCTAATGGTACTGGGAATTTTAGAAATTGCAAGGTTCCTTATAGGCACTACGAATAATTTGTATACATTTTGGGGGTAACCACAGGAAATTTGAGGTTATCAAAGTTTACATGTGAACCAGATTACATCTTCACTGTTCTAAGAAGAGCTGGCCACCCTCTCTCCATGCACACCCTCCCTTCGGAGCCTTGCAGTGATCTCTGTTGGCCTGGACACTCTGTTTAGTCTTTTCCTCTCTGCTTTGTCTTCAGGGCTCCAGCCACTCACTCACAACACAGCGTTCTTCTCTGCTCTTAAATCTTGTCATTAACTTCCTCAGCGTTTTATTCTCTAGGTCAAATAACCCCAGTTCCTTTTGACTTTTCTTAATATAGCCTGTATTCCAACCCTTTAATTATTTTATTACTCTCCTCTGGACTGCCTTCAGTTCTTCGCATCAGAGTTCAAAACGTAGCACGCTACTGTTAATAAAAGTCCAATCGATTCTGAATACAAGGGAGCAGAAGACTCTTGTATTCTGATGGGCTGTTGGCTGTTTTGATTTTTTACTATACTTTGTTGTGTCCTATTTTGATCTTTTTCTTTTAACCTTATCTGCTGCCAGCCCTTTCCCATATATTTCTTTTCTTCTAGGCACCTTCATTTGTATCTTCTTGATTCTTTTAGTATCTCAAAACTATCTATTTTATTCAGTTCTTTAAAATGGTAGTCAGTTACTCTTTAATACTATTATCACCCAGCACTTACTGAGTGCTTGCTTATACGCAAGGTACTGGTTAGCACTTTTGTAGTTACTCACCTTAATCTCATAATCACCCTATGAAGAGGGTTATGATTCTCTCTCCCTTTTACTTATCAAGTTGTTGATATCAGCAAATAGCAAATGATATAAGTATGGCCTCATTAACAAGTTGTGTGCTTTCCTCAAAACAGTAGAGGATAACTTTTTAGTTTATAATTGACCGTATCATATAAAATGACACCAAAAACTCACCTGTGTGTGGCAGTATGATCCCAGGCCTCTGCCAGCAGAATGAGGGCACAAGCCCATTTTAAGGGGAGGAAGACTGAGTCCCTATGGGTTACCTGGCCTAGTTACCCAGGAATATGAGCTTCTGCAACCCTCCTGTAGGCTGAAAAAAACAAAACCTCTTTGCCTGCACTGAAAAAGGAAAGGCTTTAACCTAGAAAACATTATTATTTCTGCAGTAATAGTTCCACTTCTAGTCACGACATTTTATATCAGTCGTGAACATTGTTGTATTGTTATAATCCTTCCCTTTTGTTTAGAAAAAAATCACTAATCACCACTACTTACAGTTTACCGGTATTTTAAATTTGCTCACTGACCTACCTAAATTCCAGATTTTATTGAATTGCAAATTTTTATATGTACTAACATACATACTTACATACATAGGTATATAAAATAATGCAACTAATCCAATTTCTATGATTCTGTTTCCAATTTCCTAAACTTCTACCCCCACCCTCCCTATTTTTTGATGAGTTAGCACGTTTGGATCATTTAACATCTTAATTTTCTCAAATGTTAAAGAAGGGTATTTGAACTGGATTAACATCTAAGGTGCCTTATAGTTCTAACATTTTGTGACTGTTGGGTGTATATATATTTTTGCAGTAAACCTTTTGAAAAAGTAATCACAAATGCCAAATGGTAGAGATGGATTTCATTGCAATGAATTACGTATTTAACCAAGACAGAGTCACCTCATTGTCACGGGCCTGCTGATGTTTTTAAATCCCTAGGTCTGTGTTGCCAGGGCTTCTGGTCAGGTTCCACAGAACAGAAAAACAACTGCAGAAGATGGCTGCAGTCCCTATGCTTTTTGAAGGGCTGTTTTAACACTTTGCCTTCAGATTGTTTACTCAGTGCCATTAGATTGAGGGATAAATAATTTTACCATCTCTTATTAAATGGAGAAACTAGAATTGGACTCCTTGTTATGAAACAATGATTCAGTTATAGTTCCAGATTACTCAACCCTGTTGGACCCACTGCTTCTGTTTATATAAAGAGCCCAGGGAATTGATTAGCAGTTGGGTCTGGGAAGAGAATTAGGTTCTCCCATAGGCTTTATTAAAAGGGCTTTTCTGAGGCAAATATAAAAAATAAAAATAAGCTTTTCTTTTGCCCTCTTTGAACCTGACATTTTCCTACTTTACTTTTTTTTCTTTCCTTACTATCTCAATTCTATAAATATTTATATCACTGATGTTTTCTTCCTCTGTACCCTCTCTTTCCTTAAGCCAAAAGACTCCTTCCTTGTTGAATAGGAACAAAAGGGATGGGGAGGTAGTGAGCAAGTAATCTTTGAGTATAATTCAGTGGCCCATGTGACTGTTCTTTCAAGCATTTGAATGAAATGGGTTCCCCTGTGACTGGCTTTCTAAAAGAAAGTGAGGTAAAGGGTGAACAGAGTATATTGGGGGTGAGGGATTCGTGGGGAGGTGATAGCCTAGCACTAGGCCTCAGGTAAGACTCCAACTCTGTCCTCTGCCTGCTCAGACTCTTAATTTCTTGTCAAACATAATACTTATACCCTTATGCTGAAGGTCAAAGTTAGCCTCCCTCATTTGTCTGCCCTATGCTTGCTCCTAGGAGGGATGGGGATAAGCCCAGTAGACTTGGAGACCTCCAGAGACAAGGATCAGAGGTGGATCAGAAGTACAGAGGAGCTAGAGCACTTGGAACATGGTGGCAATACTGTCACTTCTATTTTTATTTATTTATTTATTTTGCCTTTCTGGCTTGAATTCATTCTAAATAATAGTCCTAGTGTGTGACAGCTTAGCTAAAAGACATTCTCTATCCATGCCTCTTGCGGGAGTTGGAGAAGGTGGAGAGATTAAGACAGAGAGAGACAGCATCCACAGTCAGCTTGGTTTGGAAAAGACTGAGTTATATCCATAGTCAGCTTGGTTTGGAAAAGAGTGAGTTATATCCATAGTCAGCTTGGTTTGGAAAAGAGTGAGTTATATCCACAGTTAGCTTGGTTTGGAAAAGAGTGAGTTTAAATGGGTTTCTTTTTTGCAAGACTTGGCAAAAAAGAAGGGAGTGTGAAATTTATACCATTATCTGAACATTTGTGACCTTGACCCTTATTTATTTATTTTTTTTACAAATTCCTATTAAAATTTCAAGGAATGGTAATATTTGTTAGCACCACTGCAACTGAGAAATGGAGGACTGGAAAGTTTGTGTTTGCCACATTAGAAATTTCAATGTATGTTCACACTCCTGCAACCTAGAAATGTGGGAAAATGTGGACATTGTTGATTCCTGCTTCTCTGCTTACTTTCTCTCTTGCTGTCACTTAGTCATCAAATAATGACTCAGAGTCTGCTAGTGAACAAAGCAGCCACAACCCTGCCCTCATCCAGCATATAACCTAACATGAAGCAATGGCAAACATTAGATATTTGTTTATAAAACCTTTCTTGCAAAGAAGTACAAGCAAGAAAATTTGGGTATTAATCAAATCACAGAACCTCCCAAATGCTAAGTGAACATTTTTAGCATTTGAGTATATCCCATTAAAACCCTCAGTTTTCTTATCTATGAAATGGGGACATTTCAGGTTACTGTGAGACTTAATGAGATAATATATATGAAACTCTTAGCATAGTGCCCCCCACATAATTGGTGCATGATAAATATTAGTTTCTTTCCCATCTGACATCCAGCTATCTCTAAGAAAAATACAGAAACCAAATTTAAATCTATCTCTAAAACTCATAATTTAATAGTTTTCTTATCATTAGGCAGTATCCCCTTAATGTTGAGTTCCTTTGTTGTACAGTAGTTTGATTTGATATTTGTAATTGATTGTGCATATATTTATTTAAGGTTAAAGATTTAGGTTCTGTATAACATCTAAGTTCTGTAAATAGCATAAGTGAGCATGGAAATTATTTTATTTCCATTTAACATGAAATAACCTACAATTTAAAAATATCCAGTCTGTTGTTAACAGTTTGTGTCACTAATTATTACCCATATGTAGCTAAGTGACCAAATTACATCTATAATCCATATTTATTCCAAGAATGATTTTATCAAAAAAAGTCCTAATTCATATTTTAGGTCATTTATTTAAAATGATTTCTGTTTACATGTCTCTTTAAAGTAAAAATGAAATAAAGTGGCTATTATTCCCTCCAGGAATGAAGTGGTACCTAAATCCGAGTTGTGGAAACTGAGATGCTTGTTATATTCTAACTTGCAAGTGTGTAACAATGTCTTTTCCACCGGACTTTAGGGAAAAGAGTGCAGATTCGGAAAGCACCGCAAGCCGTTTCAGATGCAGTGCCTGAGAGGAAAAGGTCAACCCCTATGAACCCTGCAAATACAATTCGAAAGACACATGGCAGCAGCAGTGTCTCTCAGCGGCCATATAGGGACAGAGTGATTCACTTACTGGCCCTGAAGGCCTACAAGAAACCTGAACTGCTTGCTAGACTCCAAAAAGATGGCGTCAATCAAAAAGACAAGAACTCCCTGGGAGCAATTCTGCAACAGGTGAGGACAGCCGGAGAGAGGTCCTTCTGCTTACCTTCTTGTTGAAAAATTCATTTAAAAAGGCTGTGGTCATTATCATCATTGTTGAGATAGGGAAATTTCAGGATCATTTTGATTAGTAGCATGTGAAATATGCTAATAACTCCTGAAGATTAAGTTAAATTGTCTTGCTTTAAGCATTTAATTAAAAACTAGTTGAAATGTGGGCATTATCTTTATTCTAGACAAACCAAATTTTGCCCTGAAATTCCATTAAAAAATAGGCAAGAAATTTTGGTTGTTTATTTTTAGTCTTGAATCACCTAAACTGGTGCCTTAATTTTCATTGGTTTAATGGGTGAAGTTGTACAATGTATTCTATTGATCTTTGGTTTGTATAAGCCAGAATATTTTTGCCTACTAAATAGTTTAGAATTTCCTTGCACTGTATACTTTTTGCTGCCCTTATTACTCTACCTTTTTCTGTCACTGGGTGTACCAAGATCAGTCACTTGTCTGCATTAAAAGATACGAAAGTGTAAAGTACTCACTGTGGTCAGTTACCTTATATTCACAAGCTTAAGTATAAAACTAGGCCATTATTTTTGTTACAGTCAGTGGTCTATCAGACTCCTATGTATTTTTTATTTTCTTTTTTTTTTAACTTCTTATAATTTTCATACTGACTTCAGGTCATAAATGTTGGTTCGCATTCAGATCCACCATAAATAGTGATCCATCTCTTTTCTTTATTTTTTCTAAAGCAATAACATTTTCAAAGTTATTCTTTAAATTTTTTCATTTGAAAAAATCTATAGGTTTTCATCTATCATTCAAGAAATAATACTTTCAAGTCCATTTTTTCATCCATTATCTCTTACATTCAAGGCATGATACTAAATGTTATAAAAGGATAAACACATCATCTCTAGTTTGGGGTTAGCCAGTCCTCTAGGTATGTTAGTCAGTCTTAAGGATTTTTATTAAATCTTTTGAGCACTTTTTGAAAACACTTAATTTAAATCCGTATGTCACATAGCAGTTTTAAAAACAAGTTCAAAAGACAAGATGAAAGAGTGAATGAGGATGTGAGTGTGTGTGTTAAGTTTTATATTTAGAAAAGTGGAATCATGTTATAAATCACAAAACATTTGATAACTGCATTTCCAGATAGGCTATGAATTACCTTCTGGGTTAGAGGATGGAGAGGGCAAAATGACTACAGAGGCAGTTCACACAGAGACTACTATTGATGTATGGCAGTAGTTACATGATTATTTATATGTGTATAGATATGCACATCTAAGAATGTAGGACATGAGAATTATTAGTGCTGGTCATTTGGTATTATAGAACCTAGAGCATAATCTCATCCTGGCTGCAGGCTAGAATCCCCTGAGGAGCTTTTAAAAAAATGCCAGTGCCCGAAACCCCATACCAACTAAAGCCAAGCATCTAAAGGTGGGGCCAAGGCACCAATATTATATAAGGCCCTAATGATTCTAATGTGTGATATGGGTGAAACTACTGGCCTAGTGAAAACATAGATAGAAGGGCTAATGACATCTACCAGTTTTTGTTTTGTTTTTTTGAGCGTGTACCAGGTGCCAGACACAGTCTCATTTAATCCTCATAGAGAAGATAACAGAGGCATATTCAGAACTTTGACTTAAACCAGTTGTAAGTTCCCTTTCCTGAACATTCCTAGTAGCTTGCAAGAAAAATAAAATGGCTATACTCCAATGAAACTGAAAAAGTAGATATGAAAGTAAAAGAAAAAGAGCAGCAAGATACACAAATCATCCAAAAATTGGTTATTCTGTCCCAGACAGACTAATTGACAAACAAGTTACCTAAAATAATCAATCCTGCTTTGCCTATGTCAATAGAGATATTTGCTAATTTGTTACTTATACAGTAGTTTTTGACACTCTGTGAACATTATTAATTCATCAAAATAGTATATTTTTAAAATAAACTAAGATGTTGGCTCCCACTGAAATTTGAAAGATTGTTTTAAATTTAAAAATGCTTACCATCCACCAGGAAATTTAGTTTAATACTATTTATTACCAAATTGATATATATTAATAAAACTTCTTTTTCTTAGAATGACTATTTTCCTGAAAAAAAGAAATTTTCAAAATCAGGGAAACAACTAGATAAAGCTGAATAATGTTCTTCTCAAGCTTAACATTTGGATATTTGGCTCAAGCTCAGCATTCATTCATTCAATTCAGTGTATTAAGTTAGAATGTACCAGACACTGTTCTAATTGCTAGAATCCCAAAATGACCCCAGTAGACAATCCCTGCCCTTATGGAGCTTATTCATGAGACAATTTCAGGTGGAGTGGGGAGTCAAGAAGAGCTGGGAGAGGGATCAACTACTTTGAATGGGGAGCTTGGGAAATGTGTTTCTCAGATGGTTATATTTTAGCCCAAATGATGAGGAAGAGACAAGATCAGTTAGCACTTCTGGAGGCCTGGAGGAAGAGAAGGTTGTGTGTTCAAGATAGAAAGGCCAGAACACAGAAGAGAGAAGCAGAGGTTGAATACTAGAGAATTGCTGCCATGGGTAAGAAGCTTAGATTTTATTTTGAGTGAGATGGGAAATCATTACAGAGTTTTAAGATATGCTGTAATTTGATTTATACTTTTTAATAAGATCACTCAGACTTCTGTGGCAAGAATGGCTTAGGAGGCAGAAGTAGAGGAGAGAGACTACTGAAAAGAGCCTACAACGGAAATCCAGGCATGAAGTGTTGGTGGTTTGACCTAGTGTGAACAGTGGAGATAGTTTATTTTGTGGTAAGACTTGCCAGTGGATTGGGTATAGGGAGTGGGTGAGGGAAAGAATGAAATCTGTGATTATTGACTATGTGTGTGTCCTGAGCAACTGAATGGATATTGGGCCATTGACTGAGAAGGAGAGGGATAGAACAGGAATAGGTAAAAGGGGCAAAGGAGGGTCAGGAATTCTGTTTGAAGTGGATGTTGTTAGACATATCCAATTGGAGATGGATGTCAATGGGTAATTACATATAAGGGTCTGGTGTTCAGAGACTAGTTGGGGCTGGAGTTATAAATATAGGAATTAGTAGCTTATAGATTGGGTATTAAAAGTTGCAGAGATGAATGAATTCATCTTAGGAGGGAATGAGGAGATTGAAGAAAACAGGACAGAAGAGCACTCGAGCATATAGAGCAGTGAGCAAAGGAGACTTAAACAAAGGTCCTGAAAAAGGAGGAGGAAACCAGAAGAATGTCCTATTACCCAAACCTAGAGAAGGGATTGCTGTGGAGGCAAGGCATTAGTATGTGTAGTGCTGAGGGTAATAGAAAATTGAAGGATTGTTGCATTTATTCCACTTAAAGAAATCAGGTTGTATCCTATATTAACTTATTCACAAATTTGAATTTTAAGATAAGCCTACTATTTTCTACTTTATAACAATAATATTAGAGTTCAGCTAAACTTAGAGAAGCATAAACTATCATATTTAATACTACTTTAAAAAGACACAGAAAGAAAGACTATCCCAGTAGAACAGGTAGGAATACCTTTCTCCTAACCTTAAAAATTACTTTTGGTTTGGCACGTGAACCCATGTATTTGAGAAGTTAATGTCTTCTAAGCCTAGACACTCTAGGAATTGTAGTTAAGGGATAAGAAAAGATTACACGTGAGAATAAACTGTCTGACTAATAATAGTAATTTGAGGCTTCTTTTGGTTTATGTTTCTATTTATTGGTTTTGGGAATTTCAAAGACTTTGAATAAGTAAGTGGTTGTTTGGGAGAATTGACATATATAAGGAGCAAGCTGGGTTGTCCAAAAAAAGGACAAACTTGTCAGAATTGACACTGTTCATGATAACAATTTCTGTTGATGACTAAAGGAAAGTTTTAACCCAACATTCAGACATTGTTTGGTTTCTACTTGATACAAGCGATAAAGGATTTTTATTGTGACTGGAAAGTAATGAAGTTAATGACCAGAAGTAAATAATGATGTTGGTAATACAGTAATTCCCCCTTATCCATGGTTTCACTTTCTGGGGTTCTGGTTACATGAGGTCAATCATTGTCTAAAAGTATTAATAGGAAAATTTCAAAAATCAATAATTAATGAGTTTTAAATTGCATGCTGTTCTGAGTAGCATGATGAAATCTCATGCTGTCCTACTCTGTCCCGCCCTGGGCATGAATCATCCGTTTGTCCAGCATATCCACACTGTATATGTGCTACCCACTCATTAGTCACTTACTAGCCATCTCAATTATCAGATCAACTGTTGTGGTATTACAGTGCTTATGTTGAAATAACTTTTATTTTACTTAATAATGGCCCCAAAGTACAAGAGTAGTGATGCTGGTACATTGTTATAATTCTTATATTTTATTATTATCTATTGCTGTTTATCTCTTTGCCCAATTTATAAATTAAACTATCATAAGTATGTATATATAGGAAAAAATAGAGGGCTGGGTACTAGCCACAGTTACAGGCATCAACTGGGGGTCTTGGAATGTATCCCCTCTACCCCTTGAGGATAAAGAGGTACTACTGTATATGTATTTTGGATTCCTTTGACTAGAAAATATTGATTTAAAAAATATCTTCCTCTATTTTTTTCCTAATGTAGGCTCCTTATTAGATTAAAAATATGACAAATGCAATGGCCATTCAGGGAAAAAACATTTGGCATATATATAAAACTTTAATTCCCAAAATGAAGTTAAATGGCTTTTATTGAGATCTGGCATGTACAAAACCAGCAATCCCTTTGGGGCCAATTGGTGTAATTATTTTCAGTATAAATCCTTAAGGTCACCTGTTAGGTTAGGGGATAGCAAAAATATCTAATGCTCTGTTTTTATACCATGTACCAGGTAGCCAATCTAAATCCCAAGGACCTCTCGTATACCTTAAAGGATTATGTTTTTAAAGAGCTTCAAAGAGATTGGCCTGGATACAATGAAATAGACAGACGGTCATTGGAGTCGGTGCTTTCTAGGTAAGTTCTTTTTTTCCTTTTTCTTTTTTTTCTTTAAAAATGATGTAAATAAATAATTATTTCAATCATTGTTTTCTTAGTGTTAAGGTGGAAAAGACAATCAAGGGTGAACATTTTTAAATTCTCTCCATAACACATAATATATGTGTCCTTTACAGAAAACTAAATCCATCTCAGAATGCTGCCAGCACCAGCCGTTCAGAATCTCCAGTATGTTCTAATAGAGACGCTATATCTTCTCCTCAGGTATTTCATGAGGTTATAGAATCATAGACCTCAGGGGCCAGCTAGTTGGTTCCTCTGATGTATAAAGTGAAGCTTGCCTGCCCAAAGCTACACAGCTAGTTCACGGCCAAGCTCAGCCTAGGACTTAAGTCTCGACTTCCAGCCCCATACGCTTTCCACTACACAGCAGTGTTTGTCAGAGTACTCAATGTGTGCCTTGCTTTCCATTTTTAAAGTTCATGTTTTGTTTTAGATTTTCTACTTTTCACTGTGGTCACTAACTGGAAGACTTATCCAGCCCCATATAATTCTCACATTATATGGAAAACTGAAAATGTTTAATGTTGTCTAAAACATGTTCTAGAAAAATATTCTTAGGGGAAAAATGGATTTGCAGGAAGCAAATAAATGAACAGCGATAGCATTTTCATGTATTTTCTTAAAACGTTTTTCGATTGGATCCTTATCAGAATACTTCCAATCAGGTTCTTCTCCAGTTTAGAGTTTTCCATAAGAGATTCAGTCCATCCTGGAAAAAGGTGGGTGGTCCTAAGCAGTACTACAGTTCAAGTCTGCCTGGCTCTCAGCTGACTGGCCAGCCTCAAAACTCTCTCAGTGTCTCTCCCAGGTTCTTTGGATGGACTGTGGGACAGACCTTCCCACCATAGTACTGCTGCCATAATGTTATGTCCCTCTCTGGACCCTGCTCCCAAGAATTAGGGAAACGTAGACGATGTATGGGAAACAGTAAGTGTGCCCTGAGCAAAAGGCTGGTCACATATCAAAAAAGGTTAAAACTTATAGTGAGGAACAGAGGAGGAGCAAAAAAACAAAGCAAAGTTCTGTCCTTGCATGTACAATGTCTGTGGAAGCATCACTTTTGATGCCAATGACTATAAAACTACTTCTACTCTGATCAAATTATATACTGGGTGCCAAGTAAATGGTGTTAAATTCAAAACAGAATAAATTAATCCATTAATTATTTTCTTTCAAGCTAAAATGCAAGGCACAGTATTACATTTAAGCATAAATATGAATTTATGTTTTATACTAATTGGCTGTCTAAATTTCCCTTTTAACTTAATAAACAACTATTTGTTCTTGCTGGATTGGGCTAATATTAACATAATTTTCTTTGAAGTACTAACACATTATTTAAATAGACCAGTTATTAACACTTATCTTCCAATCTGGTGAAGAGATATGTAAGGGTAAAAATGTTAAATTGCATTTCAACAGTAATAGAGATACTTACAGAAACTACTCTGAAAATGTTGGCTATTCCACTCTAAGAAAGATGAAATGATAAATGACAGCCATAACTGTCATAAATGACAGTATTCATAACTGGAGCATTTTAGCACATTAGAGATTAAAATAAGTAGAGGCTTACTGCCCTTTACCTAGCTGTGTTAGTTCTCACAGAGTCAAATGGTACAAATTGCTTTCTCCTCTCATTTAATATAACCAGGTCAATCATGGCCAGCAGTGGAGGGCAGCTGCCTCTGTTTAATACTCTCCTGAGTGCTATAATCCACAGAAATCAGCATAGTCTCTCTAGGAACTTAGAGTGAGGCTGTATGATCAGAAAGAATTTAGTAAACACTACAGGAGACATATATTTGCCAGATTCTGCTTTTTGACATTAGACATGAAAATTTATTTCACTTTTGGGTGATTTTTTGTTGTTTTGTTTTGGTTTGGTTTTTGCATCAGAACAGAGAAAGGTTAACACAACCCTAGTAATAGACTTAAGTATGAGTAAGGTTACTCAGTTGTTTAACTAGTCATGTATGTATTGAATTTATTGAATTTCAGTGCAAACGGCTCACTTTTTTCCTTTTCCTTCCCCCAGAAACGGCCTTTGGATTCAGATTTTATTGATCCTTTAATGAATAAAAAAGCCCGAATATCTCATTTGACGAACAGAGTACCGCCAACACTAAATGGTCATTTGAATCCCACCAGTGAAAAATCTGCTGCAGGCCTCCCGCCGCCCCCTGCAGCTGCCGCCATCCCCACCCCTCCGCCGCTGCCTTCAACCCATCTGCCCGTCTCACATCCTCCCCAGATTGTAAATTCTAACTCCAATTCCCCTAGCACTCCAGAAGGCCGGGGGACTCAAGACCTACCTGTTGACAGTTTTAGTCAAAATGGTAGCATCTATGAGGACCAGCAAGACAAATATACCTCTAGGACTTCTCCGGAAACCTTACCCCCTGGTTCAGTTCTACTAAAGTGTCCAAAACCTATGGAAGAAAACCATTCAGTGTCTCACAAAAAGTCCAAAAAGAAGTCTAAAAAACACAAGGAAAAGGACCAAATAAAAAAGCACGACATTGAGACTGTTGAAGAAAAGGAAGAAGACCTTAAAAGAGAAGAGGAAATTGCCAACCCAAGTAACTCCAGTCCGAATCCCAGTGGAGGTATTATACCTTTGTAAAACAACTAACTACATGTGCTAGATGAACTGGAAGAGCCTGATAGAGGATATTACCATGAGTTTGAGATTATATGGTTTATAATTAGTAACGCTTTTTTATTTTTTATTGTTTTTTTTTTTTAGTAATGGTTTTTTGTCAAATGACCATTTAATTACTAAGTTTGTTACCATAGATTACTAAGATTATTTATCTTTTAGGATTGTGCTTTTGAGCAGATTTTTTTTCATTTTACAGCAGTCATTTTCAGTCTCCTTTTGGCCAACTATTAAACATAGTTTCTATATCTCTTAATAAATGGCATTTGAAATTGACCCTAGTATCCTCCAGAGACTCCCTTTTACAAAGTGGACTTTGATGCTTTTTTTCTGTATCTTTTATGATATCGTACAACCTTAACACGACCTATTGCCAGTTTTGAACTGATTTAACCAGACACACAATTAGCAATAAAAACATTCATTTCCTTCTCAAAGAAACAGGGTCTCCCCGGCTTTAATTTATATTAGCACAGGGGAAATGTCAAATTTTTTATAAAACAGGCAAGGTACAATTACATTTGCAGATCCATAACATCATCTTCATTTGGAGTGAAAGCAATTTGTCTTTTACAAGGCCATTAGCTATTATTAGCTTAATAGATCTTAAGTTTTTTGTGTTTGTTGTTTTTAAGAGTCCTGTTTTGGTGAACTAACATCAATTATTATTTGTAAAATTTACCATTTCAGGATTTAGAGTGCTTAAAATCCAACTAGAGACCTAAAGAAGCTTAAAATAATGCTTTATCTTTAAAGAAAAGCTAATCAGTAGAAAAACTGCTTAATTGCTTCATCATTAAAAGCTATGACAAATTAGATTTTCTTTCTTTCTTTCTTTTTTTTTTTTTTTTCAAAGTTGTCCTCTAAAACTTAAGGTCTTACATGCCAGCACATAGAAGATCCAAGTTCATCATTTGGGATTGCTGCCAATTTTTAACACAGAATAACAAAGGCAAAATTCCCCAGAAAAATACAACTTTAGAAAAGTCACTTTGATGAACAGAGTTGTAAGGAGTGTTATCTTTCTGTATTTTAGTCATAACACTGAAAGTTTATAATCCTTAGATTTAACTGACTGTTTTTGCCATGCAAGAGAAACCCTGATTATTTTCTTTTAGTGGTACTTCCAAAGGAGTTGTAGAATATGATACAGTACATATTGACCTAGATTGGGTATATTGCATGTCAAAGTATATCTGTTGAAATATTTCAATCAGTGTAATACTACAATGGTCCAAGGATTAGGTGTAAGCTTTTTTCCTTCAACACTCTTATACTTGAGTTCGTCAGGTCTGAAAAAGACATGAAGGAAGAAGTAAAACTCTGTGTTCAGAGTTAATAAGCCAATGGGTATACCCCACTGTCTAAACTTCCCACCTTCAAATAGTGATGCTGAGTCAGAGGCTAGTGTCAGGAGGACTGGATTCCAGTGTGTTGAGACCTACAGCAGAGATTTCAGTGTTCTGAGAGTTGGAGACCTGGAGAAGCAGATCTACTACTGTCTTTGAGTCCTTTACTGAGGATAGTATCTTTTAGAGCCAATTGGGACTATTACAAACTGAGAACAGATCCAGACCCACATCTCCTGCATCTTTTGGCACTTATCTGGTGTCTGTGGCAGAGGGAAAGCCAGATGACTTGTACTTGATACCTTTTCTTTCAAGACTCAGGCTGTTATAAAAGGCATGCTTTTGCCTAAGCCTGAATCAAACATATATAGGTGAACAATGTGCCCACAGAGTCTATATAATTTGTTTAGTGTACTTTGTCCTTTAAAGTATTTAATAGTAAACTGACAAATTATCAAATGTTCACTTTTGTATTATATGTTTGTCAGCAGACATGGTTAGAGTTTGAGTTATCAGTTTAACTCTGCTTTGAGTGATAAAAAATTACCCTAATAAAAAGTCTAAACGTAGCCCCTGGGAATGGTATATGTAAGCAAATGGAATACTGAGGAATTTATACACTTTCATAACATAACCCTAAGTGACTGGCACTTTTTTGTCCCAAGGGGGAAAAAATTCTACTTAGTATTATGAGAGCTAGAGATTAGAGGAATGTAAATCAATTTTAAACAATACCTTATTTTAAATTACCTTAAACCAATGGGAAAACTTCCTACCCACTTCCACTGTCTGCATACAAAAAAGAAAAGCAATAAAAATACAGTGACTAAAGCAGTCTGCTACCTGACTTTATTGTCTCATCTGCCTTGTTTGAATCTCATGAAAAGTAGATGTTGATGTAAAATTTGTATCTCCCATTGTCTGGCTGCATCTGCCACCACAATCTTTGAATTGCTGGGCAGATGCCACAACTGTTGTTGAAAGAATAGAAGATTGACCTTGGGTTAAGATGGAATTCCTTTATTGTGCAGACACTGCAGTAGCCAGGGTGCTTTAAATGCCTGGCGTCGGTTCTGCTGGCGCTGGTCATAGGGCCTCTATTGTTCGTGTTCAATTGTATTCCTTGCTCACTGTTGCTTATTGAGATGGGAGAATAGAATTTGAGGAAAAGTGTTCCAGATGTTTCTAATCTATTTTAGAATTATAGGCATTTGATAACCTTACTGGTTGATGAACGCTTTGAATTATTATTTTTTTTTCCATAGGAGTTAAAGAGGGTTGCATTGCCTCCACGGAACGTTCAACAATTGAACTCCCAGATTATTTGATGTAAGTTCATATGTCTGCCAATGGAGACAGCTGTTTAATTTTACAAAGTTTACAAATTCTTTTCCCATAATTTGCAAATCAGAAAAGTAAGAAGTTCCAGATATAGAGTCCCAGAGCCACCCCTGCAATTGAAAGGCTGCCATTAAGTGGCCTTTCCCAAGACTTCTCAAGTCCACCCTTGTCAGCATGCACAGGTTTTGCCTCCCCCTGCTCTGAGCTGCATTCGTTGGCCTTTAAGTATAGAGAAGCCTGTCCTTTGTTCCAGGGCCAGGCAAGCATTTGATTATGGAAGATTTCAGGGATCCGACTGTTCAAAGCTGACAGTCTATCAACGCACAGTCATTCACTTGGGCCCCCCAAAGGGACAGTTTATTACTGACAAAGTGCTTGAACCACTGCACTTAATAGTACAAAGTAGAGATAGATTGATTTGTATTTAAATAAAGTTCTGCCTTGAAATTAATTTTCAAAGGAGCAACTAGTAGAAATCTCATTTTACTTTAGTACTGGTATAATGTTTTTCTTGTTATGACAACAAGTTGCTAAATGCTGAGCTGGGGACATTTTTGTAACTGGTTATCACAGAAATTATAACTTGGACACATAATTCTAGCTTTTTTTACAGGATAAAAGGCTTCTGTAAGAAGAAAATAATTAAGTTGCAAGAGCCTGAAAAAATTGAAAGTGATGGGGCAAACAGCTCTGACTGCACATAGCTTTGAAAATGAACAAATGTGCAAAATAACTTGAATGTAGAATGAAAATGGAATCTGGGCTGTATGAATTTTTTTTTTTTCTGTTAGTAGTAGCTCACAGTAGGCAAAGTTAAGCTATGCTATTTAGCCGTGCTCATGTCCAGAGTAGAAAACATTTTAGATTTAAAACATGTCACTTCTTAATAGTAGTGGGAAAGCTATACTTTTTGGGGAATGATACAGCCTGAAACCATAATGCTGGTTATCATCTCTTAACTAATAGGAACCCAAGAAACCATGCTGTGTACTCTCTCATCTGAGGGTAGTATATGATTTTAGAGACCTGAGGGGGAGGCTTGAAAGGTAGCTACCATCAGGTTGGTAGGTTGTCAGCAGCCCGGCACCTAGGACCACCACTGGCTCTGCTGCTGAGCGAGTTCACTTCTCCAACTACAAATCACTTCTCCTGAAAAGTCTTCTGAAAGTCAGCCTCCTCAAATACCAACTGCCAGTACAGTGCTCTCATTCTCTTGTGGTGGATTTTGAATTCCTCTTTTTTATAATAGTGACGTATACTTGTTACATATGACAAAATCAGGTGGGGAGACTAAAATATAATGCCAAACTTTTCCCCATGGATCCTAGGCTGGTACTGCCAACTTAGTTAATTCTGTTATTTAAAAGGTTTTTTTAAGGTTACTGATTTAAGGGTGGTTGCTGGATTTGCCTTAATGCCTTTCTGTATATTTGTCTTATTTCTAGTGCTTTGTGATGGTTTGCTTAATTTATTTAAGTAAAAGCAATTTTTAAACAAAAATTAAGTCTTATATAAGTATAGCAAATATTTTAAAAATGGTGAGACAGCATGAATTTTCAGAAAAATTACCAATAATACAGAACTTAAATTGCCTCGTAAGAAAACTGAAAGGACATACTACAAAACCTAAATGATTGCATTTGAATAATTCTTACTTAACTATAATATTTCCAATTTTTATATAATGAGAACACTTTTGTGGCTTGTGGTTGTGAGTTGCCCTGTTTAAATTTGTTTGCATCACTGCATTAAGAGCCAACCATAGAACCATAACAATCTTTGTTAAAAATAGTGAAATGCTGTCTATTAAAATGCCAGTATAGTCTCTTTAATAGCAATACAATTATTGGCCAATTTGGTATTTTTCCCTAAGGAAATTATTAATATTAAATAAAATACTGGGGGGGGTGATTTTGAGAAAGTGGGATAAATATATAATAAATTAAATCTGAGTTGCAGGATTGGTTTAGCTAGCCATTTTGTTGATACATGCTTATCCCCAGGGACCTCTTTTTACCCTGAGGCTCCCTCTGGTGTAGAGTCAGGACAACCGGTGTCTGGGAAGCACAGCTTCACTGCTTGGCTAGCCGTGTTCCTTTTATAGCTAAGACACCAGGAGGGCAGCTGCACATCAGCATACTATCGCTGTCTCAGTTACACTCAGAAAATTAAACCTCCACACTAACTCAGCATGAATAAAAATATTAATGAGGACACTAAGTTTGCTCACTGCATCACTTTTCTCACATTTCCTACTAGGCATCTGTGATATAGCAATTTAAATAAAACGGGCAAGATTATATAAAACCATTTGGAGAGGACTTAACCCCAAGATTTTAGCCCAGTTAAGAATATATGTGTCCCCCCAGGGGACATCCTGAAGCTCCTGTCACCTGCCCAAAATTGCTTTGAAATGTCAATTTTTAATGCAAAAAGTCAAGGGAATTTTGCATACTGTGGCAGGAGCACATAGTGCCAAGAACCAGACAATTCCCAGATCCACAAACAAATATTGCTATGTCTTTTAATGTTAAAATACTATTTTAATTCGCTTAGCACTGAATAAATTGACACTCTAGAAAAATGGCCTTAACTTACCATGACCCTTGGGGTATTCACACTCCAAAGTAAAATACAGATTTGTGACGTTTTATTAAGAATGTAAATTATTAGACTAACAGTACAACACTGGCTTTCTGTTCAACATAGTATGATGTTTAAGTGTTTGAAAAGAACTAGGGAAATGTACCATTTGGGTCTCTCATTTTAAAAAATGGTCAGTAATTTCCCTTATGTGTTTTATGTATTTGCCTAGTCATAAATATGAGGAAAGGGATAGAGGGAGCAAGCCTGAGGCACCTTGTTGAAGATTTCTGCTGGTAACATGTCTGAAAGACCAAAAGACAGACTGCCTCTCGTAAAGTAATGAGTCCAGAGAGAGCTTTGACTTCAGCACTTAGTGACTGCGTGACATTCTCCTGGTTTCACATTACCCACCGAGTCCTTCTGTCTCGATATAACTCATAACACATGGGTTGGCCTCTACTGTTAGTGTGGTAGTGAATTATTTTGGACAAAGGTTCAGGAAGCTAGATCTATGTCTATATTGTTTCTTCTTACATAGTTGCACTTTAATTCTGTAACTAACATGTCTTTTACATTTACTCTCCTTCACTGAAGCTCTTAAGTTCTCCTGTGTGATAATTTCACCTGGAAAGTGTTTGAAGGAGGGATCTGGTAGCAAACCCATGGCAAAGCATTATTAAATACTAGTGATACATGCATGGATATAGTTTCTAAATATTAGGGTTTTTTTAAAGTAGGGCATTAAATATATACAACTATTATGTATTTATAATAATGAAAAATAAAAAATTTAAAACTAAGTAATAAAAACATCTAAATATTTGGTTTAAATCTCAGACTTGTGCAATCATGTTTATTATATAGTTTCTCTCCATTTGTCTTTTTCCTTTTTCTCTTATTAGAAAATATATCGCTATCGTCTCCTATGAACAACGCCAGAATTACAAGGATGACTTCAATGCTGAGTATGATGAGTACAGAGCTTTGCATGCCAGGATGGAGACTGTAGCTAGAAGATTTATAAAACTAGATGCGCAAAGAAAGCGCCTTTCTCCGGGCTCAAAAGAGTATCAGGTAAATGGATTTGCTCGTAGGTGGACTGACTTGTTTTTGCCTTCATATTTTGCCTTCTTTCTTTCCCTGCCCCTACCCAATCCCATCCATCCCACTGGCCTTTACAGCAAGTCCTCTGGTAGTTCAAACTAAATATTTGAAATAGCTCTTGAAAATAGGTTAGCACAGTAAACCTGTATTTCTACCAGTGGAAAAAATGTTGTGCACCTATAACATAGTATATGGTGTATTATGAAAAACACCAAACACAACTAAATAGGAAAAAAGTTGAATCTTGAAGTTCATTTAAATATTTGATTAAGACTATAGTGCCTAAGGCTAGTGCTGTCCCCCAGAACTGTGCTGTTTCCAAGTAAATTTTTTACAATTATTTTTTAAAGAAACCCCAGTCTGACACAGAATAGGGAAGATATAGACATAGGATATAAAGGGTACTTAATACCACAGCGGTGTGGGATTTAATTGAAAAAAAGTTTGGTACTTCTAGCTATTCCAGAGTCTGACCTTTGTTAGCTAGTGTTAGTCTGTTTCCACTTCCCTACTTTAAGTGTTAATATTACTGCAGGTGACAAAGAGCAATAGATGCCTGACCTGCCTCCTGGGTTTTTTTTTAATAGTTCTTAGCAAAAGGATTAACAGAAGTGAGTATTTCCTTCCTCATGTAGGCCAGATAACTATGTGGTACTTCACAACTATGAATGGTATGGTGCCTCTAACCCTGCCTTCTACCACTAGTTCTGACTGGAACCCACAGATGACAATGGATGAGTTTTCCCATAATAGGAAAAAAACAGCCCAAGAACATTTGTGTCCTAGAGATTCACTAATGGGCATTAGTCTTTTCAGCAAGCTAGTGAAAGTTATAGAAGACTTTGCCAGAGTAATCAGTGTTTGGGTTGTAAGAGGTTGGTGATATGGTGTTTTGGGGTTTATTTTTTCTACATAATTATTTATGAGTGTACATGATTATATTCAACTAAAATGTAATTCCAAGGATTACTTAGTGCTAAGAGTGGGCTCTGGAGCCTCACTGCCTGGTTCAGATCCCCAGCTCTGCCATTTAATATTCGTATGGCATTGGGCAAGTTACTTAATACCACTTTGCCTCAAATTCCCCACCCATAGAATGGGATAATCATAGAGTTGTTGTGAGGAATAAATGTAAGTAAACATTTTTAAATGGGTTATGTCCATGCCTGGTACTTGGTAAATGGTGCTAGCCAGGTAGTTTCCCCAGCCACCTGGTCCCTCCAGCAGCCCCAAGGCAATCATTATTACTAGTGCCCAGTGTACCCTTTCAGAAGTGTGTTTATGTGTGGTGTGTGCGTATGTCATATATATATATATAAAATATGTATGTGTACATGCAAGTATATTCACATATGCACCATATTTAATCAAATCTGAGGTTTCTTCAATTGTAAGATGCACCCCGTGACTTACAGTATGATACGTTATTGTTTATCCTGGTTTCATCAAAATGGGAAGAAATTAGCATCTTATAAGTAATGAAATCCTTAGAATATAATACTATTCTCTTGCTCCCTTTTAACACATGGTATCAAACTGCCCATATTGTTTTGCACTTTGCTTTTTTCACTAAACAATATAATGCATCCTAGAGAATTTTTTATATCAGTACATAAAGCACTTCCCCATTTTTTAATGGTCTCTTAGTATCCTTTGTGTAGATTGATGGACATTCTGATTTTGTTTGCTGTCTTTTGCTGTACAAATAGTGCTGCAGTGAATAACCTTGTATATGCGTCATTTCACTCAGGGTCAAGTATATCTGTAGAATAAGTAAGGATTGCTGAGTCAATTTTGCATTTGCTATTATAGCTGTTGCCAAATTGCCTTCCATAAAGATTGTACCAAGTTACATTCCCACCATCAATATTTCCTACACCCTTGCTAAATGCATGTTACCTATTTGTATTGCCCTCCCACAAAAAACATTGTTCTCTTCTGATTTCTAATTTTTAATTTTGTAGAGTGTTCATGAAGAAGTTTTACAAGAATATCAGAAGATCAAGCAGGTAAATATTATCACTGTTGATTTTCTGACCGGTAGTTGAGAAATGTTATAAATTGTGCAATCTAATTCCTCACTGTTTTTTTCCTCTGCAGTCTAGTCCCAATTACCATGAAGAAAAATACAGATGCGAATATCTTCATAACAAGCTGGCTCACATCAAGAGACTAATAGGTGAATTTGACCAACAACAAGCAGAGTCATGGCACTAGACCTCTGCTTGGACCAGAAGATGTGAATAAACTTAATTAAGCTTATTTATTTAAAATTCCAAATGAGTTGCTCTAGATTCTAAAAAGATGAAACTTTGTCTGTTGAAAAGTTTCAGTATTAGTAAACATGAGGTTTTTTTTTTTTGTTTTTTTTTTCCATTTTACTTTGCTTCCCTGCATTTCGAAGCTGCTTTTTTCTGGTCTTTCTCCCCCTCAAGACTTGTGTTTGTTAATAGAAATAATTTTATAGGTATTGGGGATCCAGTGTCTATACTTCAAATCAGTTTTTTTTCCTCAAAAACTTGTGTTTGTCATTAGAAATGATTTTTTAGATATTGGGGATCCAATGTTCACACTTAAAAGTTGTGTGTGTTTGAAAAAAAGAGTAACGTGCAAGGTGAAATGCTTTTGGATAAACATAAGCCTATTTTCTGACCTTTCTTAATGCGAACTCTTTGCCTTAAGTGGTAGAATATTTAGAAATTTGCACAAAATACAAAAAAAATTAAAACATTGTCTTGGAGGGTTAAAAAATAGAAAGGTATATGAGATATGTATATGTGTCTAGATTTACATACGCATATGTATTTACAGACTGACTCGATCTAGAACATTAAATCCACCCTGCAAGTTAACCCCCCATTGCAATGGTTGCCTTAAGGTGTTTGCTAGTTATGTACATAGTGTGGTTAATCATTAGCTACACTGCTTCCCACTTGATTAGAGCAACGGGAAGCATACTGTGGCCTACCAGCGTCTGGAAGTGTGTGCTCAACCTGTATGTGTGCAGAGGTGGTGTGGATGTGAGCGTGCATGAAGGAAAAAAAGCTGCTACTTTCAGTAGGCCAAACGCTCAGGTTAAACAACTGACGAGTGTTACTGTAGGGTTTGTTTTGTTTTTGTTTTTGTTTTCTGTCAAATTGCTACTTCTTTTGTGGAAGACAAAAGCATTTCCATTTCAACAGTTTGTCAGCTTTATTAATGTCGGGCAAAAATTGATATGTTATGAAAATGAAACAGATCTATAGTTTTGGGGCAAAATTATAAAATTAAATGTGTAGGTAACCTATTTATATACTGCTATAAAGTATTTTTTGAAGAGAGATATGCAAAGAAACTATTACCTACATGAGATGTATATTTAAAGATTTTTTTTTTCATCCTGGGTGCCAGGAATATAAAGAAGAGTGGATATATTTAACCATAACATACTGTGATTCATCAAACAGCACAAGCTTTCATTTCATGGAGTTTATCTGTTGACGTTGATTTAAACTATCACTTGTTTTATCATGTGGGAACATAAGTTATGTGGTCAAAAATATAAGGATTTTGAACTAATGTTGATTCAAGTTGTGTTGTCTTATTGTATTGTCTTTTCAAAGTGCTGCCAGTTGAAAAGGGAAGCATTATGTTTACAAATCTGTTTTGAAATGTTTGCCAAAATTTTGGTAGTGTCTTTAATAAAGATATTTGTCTCCAGCATCCAGAAAAATAAATAAGTAATGTTGTTGTGTATCACTGTAAACCAGAAAATGTTGGTATCTAAAAAACATGAGAGAGTGTGTGGATTAACTTTTCTCTTTAGAGTTTTTCTAAAACATTAAGTGGAAAGATGAGATACTATATTAAAAGTATACACAAGTGTACAGACTATACAAAGACTGAAACAAGATCCTTTTGCACTACAAGTCTATAACATTACTGCAGAAATTTTATTTCTATGTCGCATGGACCTCTAGGGAATTTCTATTTCTTTTAGCATTGAGATCCCTGGTGCTCTTCCTTTTACCTCAAAATTGGTACAATCATTATTAAATGTTAATTTATTTCAAACTTTCAATTGAAAAAAGAAAAGGGATAAATTTGGTCCTCATATTATTATGGTAGAGTCTCCTGAGGGGTGTGTCTATAGGTAATGACCTATTTCTTAGATATCTTAGCCTTTTAATCAAAGATTGTGTGCTATTTGCTATGAGCAATGTTTCTCAAAAGCAAGGTGCTCAGACCATTTGCATCACCCAAATTAGAATCTCCGGGAATAGGGCCCCCAAATATCTACATTTTCACAGATTTCCTGTAGGTGACTTTTACAAGCTAAAGTATGAGAACCACTGGCTTGGATGTAGCTCTTAGTTCTTGTAATCTTGAACTGAAGGTCAGCTGTTGACTTTTATTTTTAAGCCTATCACTATCAGCAGGTACAAATCACTTTTCCCCTGTGCATGATCTGAGGTGCCCCCTCAGTTGTTTCACTGCCAACTCTTATGTCAGAACTTGTTTACAAACAAGCCCTCCAGTTGGTTAATTGTTATGCAATTAACCTATCCTCTACATCAGCACGTCTTCTGGTTCACATGTTGGGTAACAGTGGAAGCTGGAGATGCTTAATGGAAATCCAGCATTAGACTTGACCACGTACCAGTGAAAGCCTTAATTTAGATTTTTGTTGTATACATTGGACAGATCTTACATAATGTTTATCTGTCTATTGCAAATTTGAGAGTTACAAATCTCTGGATCTGCTATCACCCAAGGTTGCATGTCTTTTGACAATGGGCATGAGCCTATTAAAATATTTATAATCATTTTTCATCACCTACTGCAAGATTTTGACACTCTTGCAAATGATTGCTGTAGGAATGGGTGGCCACTTGGTATCAGTCACTCTGATGGAAGATTTTATTTTGTTTTTTGGAAGAACAGTACGTGTGTGTAAAAATTGTGATTAGAGAATGAGTTGTGTTGTCTTTTCCATCACATTTCATCTAAAATAATTTGAAGGATTCTTTTTACCAACACCCTTAAATCAACTCCAGACTGAATGAGCAGCTAATTTAAAATAAACTGAAAGAATATATTAACTAGACGTGGAGTTTTTTAAAACGTGGGTATTTCAACTCCTACCTTATTAGTTATTTTCCTCGGAATACTTTAGAGGGATTAACTTTCAACTCTCCAAGTAGTAAAGGATGTTTAATACTTGCTCTCACAAAAGTAATTGGTGTGGTGAGTTTGTATTCTATGCATTGCTTATAAAAATTCAGTATTAATTTTCTTTCTCTCTGATTGATCTTATCGCCTTTGTAGGAGTTTTTTTTAACAAATGCATACTCGCATGTTGGAAGCAAGATGTTGAAATGAGGTTTAGGCAAAAATGGTCCATCAGTTCAGACACTCTGCTTGGGTGCCTTACCCTTTCCATTACTGCGTGCTTTGCTTCTGGAACTTGGCTAAAACTCTCTAGCCAATTCGTCTTATTTCTAGCAACATGAGTGTCGAGTCACATATGCTTGGTATATGCCTTTACTACTTTTGAAGTTCTACAGTTTATTACTTGCCCAAGTGTTACTAAATCCTTATGTGTACTGGATGAGGAAAAAATTCTAGCCAGCACTTTGAAAGGAACATTTTGGGGAAGACTTTTGACTGGCACTACTAAATGAAGGCCGCAGAGGATGTTATCAATGTAATGTTATTTGTAACCTGAAAATTGAACAAGGGTGTGAGGCTCATTTCAAATGATTTTGAAGTGTTAAAATATATATATATATATCTATGCTGTTTCTCAGCTGTTCCACCCAAACCATGTTAGGACTCTCAAAGGTAAAATGTCACAGGGGCTTTTCAGTTGTTGCTGAGCTCAGTTATGGCGGTCCCTGTTGTTCTACACCAATTTCAGTTCAATAAAAATGTTAACTTTGCAATTCTGGTACTTGTTTTTCCTTTGTCTCATTTCAAGGCTCTTCTTTTGTTTTAAAAAACAAAAAACAACCCTATGACAAAGTGTTCTCTGATGCCCTAATGTAAATGTTCTACCCGGGACAGAGACATTGCTTGTCAATGACTCTAGGAAGTGGGTCAGGGTATTTGCCCTAGGACCTTGCCTGTTTTATTAGTGTAAGGCATGCCTTCTGGAGGCATCTTCTGCTAGGGGAGCAATAATCTTACTTACCATTTATTGAGGGTTTTCCATTCCCTTTTTTTTTTTTTTTTTTTTTTTTTTTTTTTTTGCATGCACTGCAAAGTCTGTTTTTCCTCAGCACATGTTATCTCTGTTTTACAGGGGAGTAAACTGAGGCATGGAGAAGTTAAGAAACTTCTCTATCACACAGCTATCTTATGGCAGAGCCTGGGAAGCCTGACCCTAGCATCTGTGCTCTTTAACCACTTCTCCCTGCTGCCCCCCATCTGTTTATATGGGGTAAGACTACTATTCCCAAAGTGACAATTCAGTGACACCACACTTGATTCCAAAGAGCCTTGAATGTGGGGGTCACAGTGGTGCCTAGATTATTCTCAGTTGATTTGTCAGAAATGATAGAATATGTTTGAAGGGAGTTCAAAATATTTTTTGAGGAAAGGTCATTTCCCCTGTGTTCCCCTGACTTGTGAATGGATATAGTCTTAACAGTAGGCTATTTGAAAGTTGGCCAGTGCAGGTAGAGGTTAGAGGGAGGAGTCCAGCCTTGTAATCATATCATTTCCTCTTTATAGTAAAAGGCTATCAGGAACAGACTCCATCTGAATGAGACATAAGGACATCCTCCTTGCTAAATCCTTAACCTCCAATTTCTGAAAGTTTTCTGAAGAGATAATGGAGGAAAAGAAGAAAGCCTCAATTGAGCATTGATATTAAAAACCTAGAACAACTCATGCCAGTGGTGCCTCTGGCCAGGTTTCCAAGAAGCCTGAGAGTGAGTGAGGTCCTGGATGTTGTCATTGTGTGGGAAGCCCTCCCCTGCTAGACCTTGGACAGTGAACGTGCCTTTTAGCATGACTCCCTGCCCTTAGCTGGAAAGTGAAAATATGTCTCCTTACTGGGGTTGGAAGGAGGGTCATTATTGTTTGTAAAGCATTTGGGATTTCTGTGAAAAAGTAGCTAAATTACAGATTATCTGCCAAAGGCAATAAGAAATGTTTGTTGAAGCATTATTTTCCAGGTGAGAATGAATTGATTTTGACTGATTGCAAAGGGGGCCAAATTAGAGGCAGGAGGTTCCAAGGTGGGGTGATTGGGGTATGTTTTATTGAATCTAGATGTCCACATACTGTTGTTTTTACCTTTCTGAGATTTGGACAAGATACTGGCAGTGGCAGAAGGAGGCTCTGATGTTTTATAATTGCTTAAGTCTCAAGCTGGGGGTCGGATGATTCTGCCCGGGTGTTAGGGTAGAGATGTGTCATTTGCAACTCCTGCCTGCCTGATTCAGCTGACCAGCCAGGCTGGTTTCTCTCACTGTAATTAGATAGTTGGTACAATGTGGGCATTTGTAGATGAACAATAAGAACTCCATATCTAGGTCTATGAAATGTAGGAGAGTGTTTCCTACAGATGAGTTCACATAATTAGCAGGCATGGTTGAGTTCTAAAGCTGGGTTTCTAGAGGCATGGCTGACTGCCCTCCTACCCTTCATAAATTCCCAGCAGGGCTTACAGAATTCCACTGGGCAGCATGATCCGCCTCCAAGTCTGCTTGCCTGCGCCTCCCACTGTGCAACCAGTCTCACAGGCCAGCCTGCCGGTTCTCCTCTCCCAAGGCCTCACATGCGAAGTCACTTCTGCTCCACCAGCCCACCCTCCACCCCGTCCTCACTTAGTTACATCTTCTGCATCCTTAAGATCTCCACTTAGACATCACCGCCTCCAGGAAGCCTTCCCTAACCTCCCAGACTAGCTGGGTTCACCCTGGTATATGCTCTTTCACTTTATACTACTCCTCCTTTGTGGCCTTTATCATAATTATAACTGGGCGCTAACTGCATTATTAAGTTCTGTGAGAATGGAGACGGTCTTATTCACTAGGATGTCCTCAATACCTAGCCTAGTGCCTGGCATTTAAAAGGTGCTCCATAATAATTTATTGAAAGCATGAGGCAGACTGTTCATATAGGTCATATTTAAAATTCATGCAGCCAGAGGATTTGGATTACTGCAAGAATCTGCTATATCATTCAGGTTTGTGTGCCTTGCCAAAGTCATGATTTATGAATTAATGATGGTAGACTGGTGCCCATGGCAGACTGACTTTGGGAGTCCTTTCGCCACACTCAACAAACTGGACATCTTCAAAAACAACATTTCTTTCTGATATTAACATTCACACCTCTAGTTACCTGTGGGATTTGAGCATCTAAACAGTCTATAATTATTCACAATATGAAATGGAATGGTTCTCAAAGTTACTTTTATTATTTGCCATAACATACAGATAGGCAAGTTCTGATTTCATTTCCTAATACTATCTAGTTTTCCATGGCTTTCTCTCTCACTTCTCAAGGATATGGTAGAAGACAGCAGTCTAAAATTGGTGTTGCGTGTGCATTTTTCCATCTT